TGGAAGGGGCACAAAAAGATTGAGAAAGGAGAGGGAGGAGGAGTGGGAAATATGCAATTTGAACAAGGGTTATCATCCATTTACTATTTCCACCTTGATCATAGTAGTATTTCCCAGGAAATATAGTAGCTGAAAGACCCACAACAACTAAGCATGGTTTTCAAAATTGGACCGGATCAGACGGTCAGACCAGAAAAACCGGGAACCGAGCAGGTGACCGGTTCTGGTTTTCCTCAAAGCCCGATTTTCCATAAAAACCGTTGATTTTGGTTAGCAAACCGCTGATCCAGGTGGTTAACCGTTCAAACAGTTTTGACCACTTTTCATTTTTTTGTCAGAACAGGCCGACCATTCGACCTGGTAATCAGACCCCTAAGGTTCGGCCTCCGAGTCGGTTTTAAAAACCATGCAACTAAGAGAATGCTGAATGCCACCAGGAGCCACCATTGCCAACGTTTTACCCCATAGAATGGTAGTTAATAAATGATTGTTGCATCTTTTGCCAAGTTTGGTTCTCGGCCTTCTTTTGGAAACAATGCACCACATGAAAAGAAACAAAATAGTCTTTCTAACTTCACGGGTTAAGGAATTCATTGACATAAAACATTGATCAACTAATCAAGGGTGTGGTACTCTTCGCTAATGCCAAATGTAAAACAAACATCATTTTAGAGTACTAATATGCTTGATTAACAATTGACTTTCTAGTTGAAAGAATGCCTTTGGTTCTTTTAGAAAAAAAAAGTGAAGTGCCCAAAATCACTTTGGCTCAGTTTGGAAAGAATACAAATGTAAATATGTACAGCGTAAATATATACAAAATATAAGGTTTTGCATTCCACATATTTGCATTTATACTCCTTCCAAACTCAGCCATTCTAACAAAAGAATGGTGGAAAAAAAGGTATTCATACAAAAGTCCTCAATTTGTTTGTGGAAAAAGGATTAAGCCAACAAAAATTAGTAGCTTCTACCAAGAAAAAAAAGAATAGACTAATTGTTTGTAGGGCCTTGATGGGAGCTTGGCTAAGCCAAGCTTTTCCTAGTTGACCTTAAGTTAGGTTCAAGTTGTTCTTAAGCTAAACATGAGTCTCGGGTGATGAATTCAAGCTTAGCCCACTGAAGTTTTCCTTCTAGGTCCAGATACAGTCCATTCAATATCCAATTTTAGTCTAAGGTCTATATAAAAGCCCAAGATTATGAAACCCACGAAATCAAGAATGAAGTTTATAGACATTAACATAGACCATGCAAATACACTACAAATTAAAACCATTTTGTCCATTATGATTAAAAAGAAGGAAAAAGACTATGTATGTGTAAGACTATATATTGATTTTTGCTCAATTAAAGGAGTTGATGTTGAACAGAAGTCATGAAAACTAACCAACCTAGTAAACTGAAAAACAAACAGCTAATTATAGAAATTGAACATGTATTCATAAAGGAAAGAACAGATTTAGATATCATGGGTTTGAAGCATTGAGTTATTCGCATGTCAAATTGTAGTATTGAAACCCCGCCCATCTCTTGGCTCACCCAAACATGCCTAAAGTCCATCGATTGTATGGGGTGGAGACCAGAGAGAGAGAGCTCTCTAGCTATTTTGCAAGAGTCAAACTAAAACTATTTGAGAAAATCCAATAAAATTTACACTGCTTCAGCTTTGTCTTTAGCTTGTAGGTCAGTCCCATTCAATTTTTGTGGAAATCCCAACTTGAGCCCACCTTGTACACCTAAATGGCAACCAAAAATCAGTCAAGGAATCTGCTCCATCCAAATGGTGTATCAAAATTCCATCTAATAGAATTGCATTTGAATGATGTACCAAGGTTTCATCTAATTTACCCCATCGGCATGATGTAATAAATCAATCAAAAGATTTAGGTCATCAAAGTGGTCTTTATGATCATTGAATTAATCTCAACTAAAAAATCTATGCCATATCTTTATATTAGTTGAAACCTTTACACATCACTTGGATTTTCAAGTATGTTCCATTTCAATGATATAGGCCTTTGGCTAAAAAGTTCTTATTGCAAATACTTTTTTTTCGGACAATATGTATGGAATAGGGTAATATCATTCTACAAATAAAAAAAAATTATGGCATTTTGGAGTTTTAAAAACAATACTAGTTTAGGGAGTTAAATGACCAACCATTTTTTTCTACATGGGGCTAGGGGTAGCCCATCCCCAAACCCATACCACCCCAACCCTAATGTAGGTAGGATTCGACCCCAAGCCTCTACTACAAGTAGCAGGAGGCCTTACCAACCAATCATTTGATACCTTGTAAGTGACAAATCCCAAAATTATGAGGGCTATGTGGAGTTTAATATACAGTTGCAAAATGGTATCTATTTGTCTAAATTCAAATTTGGTTTGTTTATAAATGGATCAAATATGAATCTGTCCACACTCCAATCTTATATTATATATTCAAAACTGAATTAGACTGTATGGTTGGACCAAAAAACCTAGGAATCGGTAAAGTAATCAGTTCAATTTCACCCTAAAATGACTTTTTAGCAAAAAATCATTGATTTGGTCAACGATTTGCTGACTTGAGCCAGTTAAACTATTGAACTGTTGACCTAGACAACAACTTTGGCCTGTCTGGTCCAATTTTAAACTAATAATTTTATTAATAAGTTACAGTTTTAAATTTATAATTTATTTTTCAATTCATTTTGTCCATGATACATAATTATTTTAAGTTATTTTATTAGTGATTTATAATATTTTGATAATTCCAATGTTAATGTTAGGGAAAATTCCCGATAGGTACCCTGTACTTTAGGCCGAGTGCTAATTTAATATTCGTACTTTAAAACGTGGCAATCTAGTATCTAAACTTTCATTTTGCGACAATTTAGTACTCAGTGTTAACTCTCCGTCAGTTAGAAGACAAAAAGACCTAATTACCCCTCACCCCTCAGCTATTTCGAGTGAACCACTTACTTCCCGTACATGTATATGCTCCGACTTGTGGCGGTGGTGGTCTGGGCGATCTCCGACTGTATGTGCTCTGTACATGTATGAGCACATACAGTTTCTGAGGATGATATTCATGGACAATAATCCGAATAGAACTTTTATATGGTCCAACGATTAAAACTTCAACACAAAACCACCACACCAATGTGAAACAATGAATGTCGTAGGAACATATGGAAACTGAAATAGAAATTCATACTTTTCCTATTATTTAAAGGTCAATCAGATTGAGGACATCAACAAACAGAGGAGAAAATAGACACCAATAAAAATTTTGCACCATAGGCAACATTAAACAATCATCGAGCCATCAAAAAAAGAGAGAAAGAGAGAGATATTAAATACATTAGAATTGATGATCGTCAAGTAAGAAGATAATCGAATAAACAAAAACAATTGACTCTGAGAACATTTTGCAGAATAATCAAACTAAGGCTCCTCCGATCATATTAAGAGAAAGGAAACACCTAAAAAGAAAGTAATTGGGTTCTCAATACCCCAAATTCTCAATCCTTCATTGCCGGGTCTTTTAGATCAGATTTGGTTACTGGGTTTTGTTTTATTTTTTTAGATTATTCTTTGAAACGAAGAAAAAGAAACAAAAAGGAGAGAGCTTTTTGCCATTGGTTGTTTGAGCTCCTATGTTTTTATCTTTGTAGGAGTGGTTTGATCTTTGATGGAGGTTAATGGTATGGCGGGAGGAATGATCTCCAGTCTGTCTCCTGGGATGCTTGGGCTAGAGATGCCTCTACACCAAGCGCAATAGCAACACCATCCTCACCAACACCAACACCAACACCACCAAAAACACCCCCAAATGGTGTCATTTGCAGGTCAAGACGCCAATCATCACTTGCAGTCTCAGTCTGTGAAGCAACATGGATGCCCTCCTTATGCCACCAAAGTGAAGTCGCAGCAACTGGCATTGAGCGATGAGTAGGAGCAGGGATTCACGAGGGAAGACGGTGGAGTAGACGGGAGAAAGAGGATATCTCCGTTACAGAGAATGTGCGCCTACCACAACAGACGGGAGAAAGAGGATGTCCGGAAGCTTCTCAATTCTAAGCATCTCTTCTTTAGGGAGATGTGTGCCTACCACAATAGATGTGGTGGTGGTGGTCTGAGAGGTGGAGTTGGCGGTGGCCACCATCCATCGGAGGTGTCAGCGGAATCAACAAATCATCAGCAACAACAACACTGCTTCCATTCGTCCGAGGGTCCTTTTGTTATTAGCAACCCAAAAGGCTTAAAGCAGGGGGGACCGAGGGGTTAAAGATGAGGACTGGAAGAGGTCATGAAGAAGAGGAGGATTGCGACGACGAAGATGACAAAGATGACGACGATGACAACGAGGAATCTATGGAAAATGGTGGAAGGGGCCATAGTAGTAAGCATGGAGGAGCAGAAGGAGGGAGTGGATGTGAGGAAGAGGAAGACAACGAGAAGTTGGGTTTGAGGAAGAGGAAGAGGAGAGGAATGTTGTTGATGCCACCATTGATACAACAGTTGAACAATGAGATGAGAGGAAGAGGAAGACAACGTGCTTCATGATGGGTAAAATGGTCTGTATATTTTCGTAAATGATAGTTTTGGTATTTTGAAAATATTTAACCCACACCTGATATCACGTGATTCTTCTAATTGACGATGAGTTAATGCTGGGTACTAAATTGTCACAAAATGAAAATTCGAGTATTAGATTATCGCATTTTAAAGTTCGGGTACTAAATTGGCACTCGCCCTAAGATACCAATCGGGAATTTGGATGGTACGAAAAAACATGATATGATCGGCTGCAAAGATTTTTCCTAAATCCTAATGTTAATCCATACTACAATCCAAATTCGATTTGGAATCAGGTTTGAATCCGATTGATAAGATTGGTTTCGAATCCGAAGACAAATGAATCAAATTTGGATGAACTTGTATCCGATCCGATCCGACCCGTTTCCAACTCTAGTTTACCCTAGAAGAAGAAAGAAAATCGAGGGCGACACGGGAACATGTCACCCTTCTTTCTTGCTATAGTCACCGGAACGAAAACAAGCAAAGAGCCTCACTGCCTCAGTTCTGTAACAGTATCGCGCTGGAAGTCGGCTGAAGAGTCGAAACGTATAGATTGCAGAGTCTCTATTTGGATGGTAAGGAGTCTGCTTCACCCTAAAAAAGAACTCAATTCCAGTAATCTCAGTTGTTTTCTGCTTTGTTTTATTAAAACAATCTCTTTAGGGTATCGTTTTTTATTTGAACAGTTCACTCCAGTCTTACTGAATAATGGCATGAACTCGTAAACCCTTCCCCACCCGATGCATCAAGGCCTGGCTGTGTTCGGTCGAAGGTTCTTCATTAAATCCACTGGTTTCATAACCAGCAGAACCTCCTTGTCGAGACCCACGAATCCCCTAAACCCTAGTACTAATGGCGTTGCGTGTTTTAGATTTCTATCGGTTGTGGCTATGCAGCGGCAACTGGCCGACCCAGATGACCCGTCCACCTTAATGAAAGAGGATGGGGTTGCAGTCAGCTCAGAGATGTGGATAGAGAGTTTCCGGGAACCTGGTAAGACTGTAACCAATCTCACGTCCTACCTTCGGCGGTTTGAATTGTGGGTTTTGGCTTACCAGAAAGTCTGTGCTGATGATATGGGTTCCTACATGCCCCGAAGTGCAATACAGAAATCCGCATTGGAAGACCTGTTAGCACTTAGGAATGCCGTTCTAGATGCCAGGTTTAAATGGGGAGCCAGGTTGGATTTCTTCATTCGATCTCCAAAGGATAAAACTGATCTTGAATCTCTATCAAAGCGGAAAATCAGGGCCATTCTAACTACCACTCAGCCAACCCCTTTTCAAGATAAAATTGTGCAAGAAGTTCTGTTGATGATATTGGAGCCCATTTATGAGGCTCGATTCTCACAAAAGTCATTTGCATTCAGGCCAGGCAGGAATGCCCACACTGTTTTACGTGTTATCAGGCGAAGTTTTGCAGGTTATCTCTGGTACATCAAAGGAGACTTGAGCACACTATTGGATGGTTTAAAAGTGGGGATGGTAATTAGTGCTCTTATGAGAGATGTTAGAGACAAGAAGGTGATTGATTTAATTAAGTCAGCGCTTGTTACACCAGTGATAACAAGTCAAGTTGATGAAGGTGAAAAGAAGAAGAAGAAGAAGAGAAAGTACCAGAAGAAGAAGGTGTTAGCAGAAGATGAGCCAAAGCCTGATCCTTACTGGTTAGAGACCTTCTTTGGTTTTGCTCCAGAGGAGGCAGAGAAGTTGCCCTCTTGGGGACACTGTGGAATTCTTAGTCCCCTTTTGGCAAATGTCTGTTTGGATGAATTAGACCATTGGATGGAGGGTAAAATCAAGGAGTTCTATCGTCCATCAAAGAATGATGTGATATGGAATAGTCAAGATGGGGAAGTGGAACAAGGTAATACATCCTGGCCTGAGTTTGTCCCTACAAGTGGGCCTGATAAGACCAGGAAGGTGGATTACATCCGTTATGGGGGACACATTTTGATTGGGGTGCGAGGCCCAAGGGCAGATGCAGCGACTTTGAGGAAGCAATTGATTGAGTTTTGTGACCAGAAGTATCTCTTGAAGCTTGACAATGAGAGCCTACCTATTGAACACATAACTAAGGGTATTATGTTTCTTGACCATGTTTTGTGCAGGCGTGTTGTGTATCCAACACTTCGATACACTGCCACCGGTGGAAAGATAATCAGTGAGAAGGGTGTGGGGACCCTTCTCTCAGTAACAGCAAGCTTGAAGCAATGCATTAAACAATTTAGAAAGTTGGGATATCTCAAGGGGGATAGGGATCCTGACCCACAACCTTGTTTCAGAATGTTTCATGCCACACAAGCTCACACAAATGCACAGATGAACAAGCTCCTTTCAACAATGGTGGAATGGTATAGATATGCAGACAACCGTAGGAAGGTTGTGAACTTCTGTTCTTACATCATAAGGGGGTCATTGGCAAAGCTATATGCTGCAAAATATAAATTGCGCTCGCGAGCAAAGGTGTACAAGATTGCATCACGAAATCTCAGCCGCCCATTGAAGGAGAAAAAGGGTCAGTCCCCAGAATACCATAATCTGCTAAGGATGGGTCTCGTGGACTCCATTGATGGCCTTCAGTACACTCGTATGTCTCTTGTGCCTGAGACCGACTACACCCCTTTTCCAAGTGGTTGGAGGCCTGAGCATGAGAAAGTTTTGCTCGAGTATATAAGACTTGAGGAACCAGTGACTCTGGAGGAGCTAAGGGGTTGCCTTAGAGATCAGGGTCTTATTTCACCGCAGGATTACATATCGATGCTTGTATGGAACTACAAAAGGAACGCTATCATGGTAGAGCCACTTCCTGTGGCTGAAAGTGGTGACAACAATATTCAGAGATCTGACGAGGCATTGTTGGCCTCGAATGAGAGCTCAAGTGGCAGGACAAGAGAAGAGGACAGTGAAGAAGGATATCAGGCTGCTCATACGTAGGAAGTCAGATTTGTATTTTGTGCTTGAAACGATCAGCAATTTTTTGTAGATGGATCTGCACTGGTCAACAAAAGAATGAGGCACATAGTTTCTGCAATGAAAGTATTGCATCACTCTTGAATTTTTAGGGAGCTCTTCTATTCTTTCAAAATTTTCTTTGGTTGGGTTTCTACCTGCATATATTCAGGTTTACCTTTATCTTGCAATGCTTTCTTGCAAGTTGCAATTTATGCTTTGAGAACTTGGTAAATTAATTCTTTCTAGCCCAACAATATTTTCCTAGTTGTTTAGCAATTCAAGTATTTTACATGTATATTAGGTGAAACGAGTGTTCTTGGAATTTAAGCTGAGTTTATCCGCTTTCTCAAATCTAGAAGTCTACGCCTATCAGATCCATAAATTGTTATTAGTATTCATGCCTTTATGGTGCCCAGAAAGTTTATGGATGTTGGAACCTTTGGTTCCTCTATTCACTTGCAGTAATGTATGGTTCCTGTATTTACTTGTAGCAATATATTTGTTTGGTAGCCTTCAAAAAAAAAAAAGTTTGGTCTGGACCTATAAAAGATGGAGGAGAAGTAAAAGAAAGGGGACTTTGATAGAAGAATCATGCCTTACTGACCAGGGCCTGTATATGTTTGTGTTATCAATATAATGAAATGCATTCTCACTCATTTAGTTTTGACTGGTTCCAATGGATTTTGTTTTGACATGTAGATCTTTGTCTAACCATACTTCTAACAATGCCATTCAATATATTTCTGTTCTCATCAGTGCTTCAACAGCAGAGAATCATTGTACAAAACTATGGTTAAAAGCTTGTGCTATTGATACATAAAACAGGCTCTTTGGAGTTTGCAATGTTGTGGTATGGTTTATGATCCTCAAGGTTTAGTAATTATATATTTCGAGGGAGATTGACAGATTCTCTGGGCTACATAAATCTAAAAGCTAAAGGAGATTCCTTACTACCTAGTCCATGGCAGTGCATCCCTTCTACTAGGGAGATGTGATTTTTGCCAACCAGATTGAATTCCTAATTCAAATGGCTGCMAAGGTCCACAACTTCTTTTGCAGATTCTCTGTCTAGAGAATTGGCTAACATGCAAGATTTATTATTGGGGTCTTACTGAGGGCAGTGAGGGGGTGTTAGATTGGTATCCTGTAAATTAAGGGTTATCTTTTGACTGTAGGTATCTGCAAAGGTCCACATTCTTTACTAGACTCTTTGGCCAGAGAAGTGGCTAACAGGGGAGATTTGTATTGCAGTCTTGACCGGGGGGTAGGTTAATATCATATAAATTATGGTTATCTTTTGACTGTAGGGATCTGCTGGCTTGTCTAACCATGCAATGACTATTATCAAAGTTCAATGAGTTTGCACATGTCTTCAGCCTTGCGTTGTGGTCTTTCCAATTTATTACTTTTACTGAGTATATATCATCATCATCATCATCATCATTTTCTAGAGTCATGTTAACAAGAGTATGCATGACACCAATTTAGAAGCAATAAATACACCAAACTAATTTATTTATACACTTTCCAAAGCATAAAAATCAACCAAAAAGCTTGTCCTGGACTACCCTTATTTTTTTTACTGTTAACTGTTCATCACAAAGGAGAATTTATTGTTAATTCAGGAGTAGTAGGAATAAAGTTTTTAGCTGATTTTCATGCTTCAAAGGTGGACAATTAACGGGTTTTAGGGTGTATATGTGCTTTTGTTAACACAAACCATTTTTAGAATCTTTACTTGTTTTTTCTTAGGTGATGGAGTGGCTTCCAGTTAAATTTGATTATTGAGGGTTCCATTACATTTTTTATGCATTTAAAAGAATTACATGATTGATGCAGCGTAAATAGGTATTACCTGCTTAAAACAGTAAATAGATATCATCGGTTATATAGCTGGCATAGAAACACAAGTTTGGTTAGTGCGGACTAAAAATCTTTCTTTTTTAATTTTTTTAAAGTAAAGCAGAAAGCTTGTCCACTACCCCTTGAGAGGAAAACTTTTTTAAATTTGAGTGTGATTCAATAAATTTTAGCAGTGGTACTAATCTTCAATTTAAAAAGCCACTCATATTACATAAAATAAATGCTAGAGAAAAATCAACAAGTTAAGAATATCTTAAAGGAAAACAATAATGTGGCTAGTCTAGCACAGAACTTCATATCAGTGGGCACCGCCAATGTCTCTCAAACAAATTCATGAATTTATTAGAGAATCTTACTCATCAGTAGTACTTCTTACCATAGCCGTTCTATTATTTGTGTTACATCCAACTCAACAGATGTAGATTAGACAATTTAAATCCTTTTTATTTGATGAATCCCAATAATAAAGTAACTGAAATTATCTAATACAAAGAATGCAACTTTTCTATGATATCAGAGCTTACTTGGTTCTTATTTTCATTGGAATCCAAAACAATAATGGTTCTCAACTGACAACCATTAGTCCTCTTTCTCATTTGCCATGGGTTGGCAATGTTTCCAACAAATTATATCCTTTGGAAGGTCCAGTTTGTACCCCTTCCCTGTGGGTTGTTTCTGATGGAATATGGTAAAGAAATCTCCCTTCTCCTCCCAAGTTTGTAGGATGGTGTGGATTACTGTGATACCTTCAGTCAGTCATTAAGCCAACAGCCATCTGGTTAATTCCATCTAGCTCTGTTTCTTATGACTGTTCTTTGTTCTAACCGGATGCCAATATCACCTTTTATATGTTTCATTGGAGGAAGTTTATATGAGCAATCCCCTAGTTTTTGGCTTTTTGCACCCTTAGTATCTTCATCATGGGTGTTTGCTTAGGTTGTGATAAGGTCTTATCTGGTTTCTAGTGGTTTTCTTGGCTCGAAGACGGATGAGGTTACACTTTAGTTCACGATATATATGTGGTGAGTAGTGACCAAATTTGTCATTAAACCAGATTATATATGATCTTTCTACCATATTTATTGCTCATACTTAGCTACTATGATTATTCCCTTTGCTGCTGGCATCACTTTTTTCTGTAAATAAGTGTTGCCAATTTAAATGTTGCCCTATCAATAAACATTGGGCTTTTGTCAAGGGCATATTCTACCATCACAAATCTCTTTTCACATTGTATTCTTTTTTGTTAATTTAGTGTTTTTTTTTTTCTTTTAAGCCATTTTCTTACACTGAGTCACTGATTGGGATGGGTCATGGCTGTCTTGACTCTTGATGACAGGGAAATCTACTAATAGTTTTGCTATCTTACTGGATTGGACCACAAAGCAGCAGCAGACTGTTGTTTGGTCATGTAAAGAGGATAATTGTTGTTCCTTGGCTGATGCAACAGCTGAACTCACTTGATTTAGGCTTTGGTTTATGGGCTGGGATTTTCTTTGTGTCGGCTTCCTATCCTTTGTGTGATAATGATGGTCCCACTTGATGGAAATCTGATCTTCCATTTTTGGTCAAAGCATGCTGAGATAGAATTTCACAAAGTCACTGACATGATGGCAAAGGACTGAAAGGAATGATTGAGTCATTGAATGCTTGGTTCATCTCCTTGAGAATCCAGTTGATGATATGCTTACTAAGGGTTTTCCTTATTTCCTTTTTATTCAGTCCAAGCTCAATGCCATTTATGGAATTATTTGCTACTTGGTGATGTTGAGGATTTAGTTGGTCTCTCCACATCATCATCCAAAACTGTTGAGGCATCTACTTCAATAATACAATTTTTCTTGTACTCATTTTGACTGGTTATACATCAGAGTATGAAATACAGCTCTCAACAGTGAGAGTTACATTCAAATTGTGTGTCACTAATAATAGGTACTGTAAGAGGAGTCTATTCATAACACCCATTTCATTAGACTTTGAAGCTGTACCACAAGGTGTAGCTTAAATATGGTTCTGTAACTAACCACAAAAATATTATTATTTTTAGTTGCAGAGCATATTGCAGTGAGCAGGGTGGGTTATTTTTGATTGATGCCTCCTGTAGAAGATGGATGGGATCGTATGATCATCCACCAAATTGAGATTTGACCTTCATGTTCACTAGGTCAGATCATCGATTTGTACTCTATGATTGATTGTGTTTCTGCTACATGAATGAGCACTTTAAGTAGCCACCATTATAGCCAAGGGGCTATGCATTGGGAAATATTTTAAAGTATTGATGTATTGGTGTATCCATGCAGATCTGGGTGCATTGGTACGGATATGTATCAATGTTTTAATCCTTACCTGCTACTCTGCTAGTATGCAGAACCTAAGTGTAAAAGTGTTACAAAGTGAAAACACTTACATAGATAAATGCATTTAATTGGACAACACTTCCTGGATAAATATGTTCTCAACAAAAGAACAAGGCCATAGTGTTAAGTTTGCAATTTGGAATAAACCTTCATTGTTTTCTTTGATTGAACTGCTAGTGCTATTGTATGTCAAATACCATGTTAATAATTAATCGTTGATTCGTTGGCACTGGTTTGCTGTATAAAACACTCAGGGATTGAGATATACATCTTTTTATGGGTAAGAGCACTTCCACCCCCTGTTAAATAAGGACACGCCAGCTATGGAAATCTAAAGGTAGATACGTGATGTTTTGAATTTTGACAAAGGAATGGCATGTCCATTATTAATTGGGGGTTTCAAGGAAGTGCTGCATATGATTGTTTTTTCCAATTTCAATTTGGTTAAGGGTGATCCGAATTAGATCTGTTTATAATTAGATTAAAAATGGATCACCCCTATCCAGTCCGATATTATCTGATTCCATTTTATTTGATTCAAATATTTCTGCTCATATATACTTAAAATTTCTATTGACCACCTGGGAAGCAGATAGAATGGTCCAATAGCCTGATTTTCCATTTCCAATATTGCCCTCGTTATTTTTCAGTTTCACTCCAATAGCCCAATTTTTATTTCCAATATTGCCTCTGTTAGCTGTAAAATATAGGTTGTCTTGAAAAACCCTATTTCATTCGACTCTCTCCGATTTGTTGAGGATTTGCATTTGACCACATGCATCTTCCTTGTCACTTGTTTTGGTAATCGGCACTGGAAAGAACCAGTCCGGTGGCACCCAGTTGCAAAGAGGTTGTCCGGCAAGATCACCAGTAAGCCTTGTTCAATGACTCAATGACTGATTGAACAATCTGTATTTTTTTTCCTTTGATCAATTTCAAAAGGCAGTCCAATGATTAGTTGTATTTGTCCTTATTTTGAATGCCATGTTCAACGATTAGTTGTTTTATCATTTTGGAAGGTGATCAATTTGGATGCCATGTTCAACGAGTTGTATTTGTCCTTATTGAGTTTGGCTCATCCATGTAATAATATTCTTATACGTCCTATTTTAACATAATAGATATGGCCTGCTTTATTTCTTATATTGTTGTTGTTTTATCATTTTGGAAGATGATCATAGAATCTAATCATGAGTAGTTTGTAGACAAACACTTCTAATGAATCTACTCTGCTCTCCTTATTAATTCATGAAAAACAATACTGCTATGTAATATTCCTGTTTTTCTCAAGAACAGTTTGCCAAACACGTTCACAATTTCTTAAGAACAAGAAAAATAAAGAAATATCCCTTTTTGGAAATCTTCTTATAAACAAAAATACATAGAAATGATGCCAAAGAGGGCCTTTAGGCTTCTTACATATTTGTTTTGTGTCTCTATTTAGTGAGGAAACA